ACTGGTGTGAGATGCTATCTCAGTGTGGTTCTAATTTGCATTTCCCTGATGATTAGGGATGTGGAGCATCTTTCCATGTGCCTGTTGGCCATCTGAATTTCTTCTTTGGAGAACTGTCTGTTCAGCTCCTCTCACCATTTTTTGATTGGATTATTTGCTTTTTGTTTGTTGAGGTGCATGAGCTCTTTATATATTACTGATGTCAACCCTTTATCAGATCTGTCATTTATGAATATGTTCTCCCATACTGTAGGATGCCTTTTTGTTCTATTGGTGGTGTCTTGCTGTACAGAATGACAGAAAGAATTAATATTGTCAAAATGGCCATCCTGCTTAAAGCAATCTACAGATTCAATGCAATTCCTATCAAAATACCAATGGCATTCTTCAGTGAACTAGACAAAATCATTCTAAAATTCATATGGAACCACAAAAGACCCTGAATAGCCAAGGCAATCCTGAGAAGAAAGAATAAAGTGGGGGAGGGATTATGCTCCCCAACTTCAAGCTCTACTACAAAGCTACAGTAATCAAGACAATTTGGTACTGGCACAAGAACAGACCCATAGACCACTGGAACAGAGTAGAGAGCCGTGATATAAACTGAACCATATATGGTTTATTAATATATGATAAAGGAGCCATGGACATACAATGGGGAAATGACAGCCTCTTCAACAACTGGTGTTGGCAAAACTGGACAGCTGTGTACAAGAGAATGATACTGGATTATTGTTTAACCCCATGCACAAAAGTAAAGTCGAAATGGATTAAAGACCTGAATGTAAGTCATGAAATCATAAAACTCTTAGAAGACAACATAGGCAAACATCTCCTGAATATAAGCATGAGCAATTTCTTCCTGAACGCATCTCCTTGAGCAAGGAAAACCAAAGCAAAAATGAACTCATGCGACTACATCAAACTAAAAAGTTTCTCTACAGCAAAGGACACCAACAGAACAAAAAGGCATCCTACAGCATGGGAGAATATATTTGTAAATGAAAAATCCAACAAGGGGTTAACATCCAAAATATGTAAAGAAGTTACACACCTCACCACCCAAAAAACAATTAACCCGATTAACAACTGGGCAGAGGATATGAAGAGACAGTTCTCCAAAGAAGAAATTCAGATGGCCAACAGGCACATGGAAAGATGCTCCACATCACTAATCATCAGGGAAATGCAAATTAAAACCACACCGAGATAGCACCTCACACCAGTAAGGATGGCCAGCATCGAAAAGACTAAGAACAACACGTGCTGGCAAGGATGTCAAGAAAGGGGAACCCTCCTACACTGCTGGTGGGAATGTAAGCTAATTCAACCATTGTGGAAAGCAATATGGAGGTTCCTCAAAAAACTAAAAATAGAGATACCATTTGACCCGGGAATCCCACTAGTTGGAATTTACCCAAAGAATACAACTTCTCAGATTCAAAAAGACACATGCACCCCTATGTTTATTGCAGCACTTTTTACAATAGCCAAGATATGGAAGCAACCTAAGTGTCTATCAGTAGATGAATAGATAAAGAAAAAGTGGTACATACACACAATGGAATACTATTCAGCCATAAGAAAGAAGCAAATCCTACCATTTGCAACAACATGGATGGAGCTGGAGGACATTATGCTCAGTGAAATCATCTAGGCAGAGACAGAAAAGTGCCAAATGATTTCCCTCATTGGTGGAGTATTACAAGGAAGCAAAACTGAGGGAACTTAATAGCAGCCGACTCAGAAGCTCCAAGAAGGGAGTGGTTGTTTCCAAAGGGGAGGGGCTGGGGAGGGTGGGGGATGAAGGAGGGAGAAGGGGACTGAGGGGTGTTATGTTTAGTACACCTGGTGTGGGGAATCCCGGGGAAAACAGTGTAGCACAGAGAAGGGAAGTGGTGAATTTGTGGCATCTTACTGCACTGATGGACAGTGACTGCATTGATGTATGGGTGGAGAATTGATGAATGGGTAAATGTAGTAACCATATTGTTTTTTCATGTAAACCCTTCATAAGAGTGTATATCAATAATACCTTAATAAAAAAATTTTTTTTAAAGAAAAAAAAGAGTACCTTGGAAGGCCAAGATCCTATACTGAAAATCAGATAACTTTGTGAGATCCTAGTAATCCATGAGATTCTGTTTCTGAGTTAGTATACTAAGATATCTCAAATTTCTGTTTAACAGTCACCTTCAGTCCCCCTGCCCACCTCTAGAGCTCCTTTCATTTCTGTAAATCTTGATTACTGAGTTTCATGATAGAGAGTTTAAGAGAGTCCCTGGGTTTAGATGAAGAGTACTCTGAATAATTACTTAAAATGGAAGTTCTCACTGCCACATCATCTTTTAAAAGGAGTTCATCATTTGGGAGCACATATTTAAACATCAAAAAATAGATTAAATGAAGTTGTATGTTACCATGCTTCGCATCTATGCCTTTCATTATATCTATTAGACTGTAGATAAAAGGTGAGCTACTTATTTGGAAATAGATTGTAGTAACTGTCACTAAGTTGGTATCTTGTGTTGGTAGATCTCTTCTTTTTCTGCCTTGCAGTAGAAATTTAAAATAATCTGTTTTAGCCATCAGAAGTGTGGTTATCTTTCTCTCATATTAGGATTGAAATTTTATAGTTCATGTGCTTCTCAGAATCTTATTTGAGGATGGGTGGAGGTAAGGAGTTAAAGTGAATTACTGGAATTGTGCTGCTTAATTCTTCCAGTTAAAATTGTGTTTTTGTGTTCTTTGGAAATAATTAGATGAAACGTGTTTTAAAAAAGCATTGTGTCCTTAACCCCTTTTATTCAAAAATAGAAATTGGTAATTTCTCTTAGATGTCCTGACATATCTTCATTAGAGGCAGTTTGCTCTTTACCCCACTGCTATAGGAAAGTGAGGTGTAGCCTCTCGGCTGTCTGGCCGCCAAGTGACTGATGTCTAATGCTTTTGGCCTCCCCACCTACCAGCTTTGCTTTAGCTCATTAAGAGAAAAAGACTCTTGTTCTGGAAACATTAGTTTCCAAGACTAAGAATTTGAAAAAGAATTGTGCCTGGTCTCCTGAGAATTAGCTGAGGTTCGTTTCTCTTATCTTCTTTCCATGTATGTTAAAGTCCGATGATTTTTGTCATTTAAATGGAACAAGTAGTCTATTTGCATTTAATGTTATTGATATTTGGGTTTAGATCTCCAACCTCCTAATGGTTTTCCACTTGTTCTTGTTCCATGCTCCTTTTTCTCATTCTTTTGGATTTATTTTTTTATTTCTCTAGTTTTCCACCTCTGTTAGGTTGGTACTTACATGTTGTTTTACTCTTCCTTACTTCCTTACAATTATCATACGTATCCTTAATTTGTTAAAGTGTAAGTTTGTTGATTTATATTTTTCCTTTTCCTCATCAATGCAGAGACCTTAGAACATGTATTCCCTGCCAAATATGCACTGCTGTTGTTTTGCATTTTAGTTCTATACCTGTCTAAAACCTTACAGATCATTGTATAGTCAGTATTCATTTAGGTCTATGTGCATATTTGCTTGTTTTGTGGTCTTTATTCTCCAGGTTTCCATCTAGGAACATCTTTCTCCTGCCTGAAGAATATCCTTTAGTGTAGGTCTGCTGATAGGAAGCTCTTTATTTTGACTTCATTTTTGGAAGATATTTTCATTAGGAATAGATATCTAGGTTGGAAATTCCTTTCTTTCAGCACGCCAAAGAAATCATTTTTACTGTAGCTTGCATGGTTTCTCTTGAAGTCTATAGAACTTAAATCTTGTGAAGTCTTTAATCAGTTTTGGAAGATTCTCAGACATTATCTCTTCAAATATGCTGCTTTCCTTTTCTCTCTTCTTCTAGGACTCTACATATATGATAAATCTTTTCAATACATTTCCCCTATGTCTTTCTTCATTTTCTACCTTTTTATTTCTCTTGGCTTCATTCTGAGTGTTTTCTGACCTATTTTTCAGTACAGTGATTTTCCCTACCACTAAGTTTCCTCTGTAGGCTAACCTCATCCATCAAGTCATTAATTTCAGTTATTGTGTTTCTAAGTTTCAGAATCTCTGTGTATTTCATTTTTGTAATTTTTTTTCTCTGCCAAGGTTTTCAATATTGTCTTTTCTTGCGTATTATTCAGCATAGTTATATTAAAATCCGTGTCTGATAAGTGTTTTCTTGATCCCTTGTGGTTTTGTGTCTGTTGTTTGCTTCTCATCTTCTAATCATGTCATCTTTAAATCTCACATAACTGACTATTTTTAGTGATAGATGCTGTATAAAAATCTAGAGATTTAATTTGAAGCCTTGGATTATTTTCTTCTCTGGAGAGAATTCACATTTGCCCTTGCCAGGGGCTTGAACACTAGCAACGCAGGATCACTGAATTCCGTCAGGGGTCGAGATGACATGAAGCTGGACTTCATTCCCTGTCAGTCAGGGTAATTAGCAGTTCGTCCTGTGGGGTCCAAACCCAAAGTATGGGGGACTTGTCAGTAGGGTCCAGTTCTCTCCCTGGTGGGCCCTGAGTTCCAGTTTTTATCTCCCTAGCCCTGTGAGTCTATGAGTTCTACTCAGCTTCTTAACGTCTTATCTTTCTTCTCTGTAATTGAAAGAGAACCCGAGGAAAAAAAGGCCTTTCTCTCGGGTTCCCTTTTTCTTCCTGATCTTAGCTTTGTAATTGTTTTATTTTTTCCCACCTTTTCTCATCTCAGCTAGAGGATTGATGCAGATTACCTGGTCTATCATCATTGGAATGGTTCCTTTATATAGTTCTATTTGAAATGGAAGCCCTTTGTATATTTCATGAGTTTACCAAAACACTGTTATTTTGGGGTCTGATCTTCATTTTTATTTGCTTTTATTTCATTTTTTGGTACTATTTTCACTTTATGACCCTTACTCATCATCATGTAATAAGTACACATTTTTTATAGACTATTTTAAAATCTTCTAAATAGGATGCTTTCAGAAGTAATTAAGCTTGTGTATTTGCTTTTTAGGATAACTTTCCATTTGATCCTCCATTTGTTCGAGTGGTATTACCTGTTCTCTCAGGAGGGTAAGTTTTTAAGTGCTTATTCTCTTTGATAGTGTGCATTAAGGTCATTTGGAGGGCTCGTTAAATGCTTGGAGGCCTAGAATGCTACACCTTACCCCAGGATTTCGGATTCAGTAGGTCTGGAATGGGGCCTGAGAATTTTGCATTTCCAAGAGCCTCAGGTGAAGCTGAGCTAGTTTAAGAACCTTTGTTATAAACCATTATGATATTTATAGGGAAAACCTTATATAGCCCCTATTTGTATACATTTCACCATAAAAAAAATTAAATGTTTTCCAAACATAAAATGTGATAGAGAGTTTAGAGAAAATTAGGATTAGAGAGGGATTCCTACATGCCTATAATCCTAGAATAATCACAGTGAATGTTATGGGCCCATGGAGCTGGCCATCTAATTCCTTCTAAAGGTCATTGTTTCAGTTTGGTAGAATCAAGTGGTAATTGTGATTCATTTTTATTGAAGCTTGTGTTGCTTTTTTGTGCTTTGGAGTTACGTGAAGGATGGGGAACAGATCAGAATTTGTATTTAGGTTAGTTATGAAACGTTCTGTAAACCCTCAAAGTAGGAACAATTAAATTAACTTAAGAATTCTGAAATTATCAGATGACCAACTTTGCGATAATTTATGTAATGGTGAATAAAATCTAAAAATATCCAGTCCTAACTTTGATCATTTCTATGGTTGACACAGAAATAGTTTTATTTAGATTTAAAAATATGGGCAGCTATAAATGATTAAGGAAATATTTGGAAGCATTTTGTAAATTTAGGACAAATGTATAAAAATATTTTTTGTCAGATCATTTTGAAATGTGTTATAAACTTAACCGGCATAGATCTCATGTTGGTGTGAGAAATCCTAGGAATTTTAAGAATTCGTGATCTTTAGTTGTAGACACAAAAATTTTCAGTTTAAAAATCTATTACGTAGTTTCTCTTAATTGATTCTTTTTGCTCCAATGGGGTTATTATCCCTTTATTCAGATGAATAATTGGAATAATAAGCCAGCTGTTTGATTTATCCAAATAAACCTTCTAATAAAGTGTTTTTTCCATTATACTAAAAACCAGCACTATAAAAGGAAATTAAAAGTATTAAGTACTCCATTGATGGTCACATGTTAAGTATGGACTTAGTTCTCTGAGGTTAAGGGAAAAGGGAGTTGCTTCCCTCCAAGGATGATCAGGAAAGACTTTGTCAAGCAGTGGGATCTTAGCTGGGCCTTGAAGTGTAAGGACTTTGGTCAGCTGGTGGAGGGTGAAGGAAAATTATGTATGTAGGTGGAAAGTAAACAATCACATGTCTAGGAAAGAGCATGATGTATTTAGAGCATACCAGCCTAGTTTGAGCTGTAACACTTGGGGGTAGAATTCATATAAAAGAGTTGTAAGAAATTGTGCTAACAGAATATCTTGAAGTTATATGGAATATCTTCT